TATTTGTAAGGGTGTGTGTGTTTGTGTCACTCGCGTGCGTGCTGTCTCTCTCCACTTCTCCCTCTCTGTTGCATACGCGCGTGCACACATTTTCACACATACGAACACACACACACACACACACACACACACACACACACACACACACACACACACACACACACACACACACACACACACACACACACACACACACACACACACACACGACTGCGCACCACAACACCACAAGGAAATCACGCACGCGGTTGTGAGCAAAGGTGACCAGTTTCGTCAACAGATTGCCGCGACAGCGGTCGTCTACTTTCGACGCCTCTACTTTATGTGAGCACCTGTGTACCTATGTTCGCGTGCTTGACCTGTCTTGTGTACATGTGCTTGTTGCTGTCGCACGCGTGACAGCCATGCACCCATTTCATACATACACACACACGTGCAAGCCGTGTGCTTGAAACCGTCGTCCTTCTCACTACTCCAACCCTGTCTTGCCAGTGTAACCCCAGCGGATCTCCAGCCATGCGTGGCCGCCACAGCATGCATTCTCCTCTCATACAAGGTTGCACACATACACAAACACATGCACACACACACACCACACACACACACACATACATGCACATACGCGCGCACACATACACACACACACATACGCACACACACCCACACACTGCCCCGATTTGAGTCCAGGCACGGCTGTGCCAACCCCTAACGTCATGCTGCCTGGTTTTGCGTGCGGTTGCTTGTGTGTGCGTGCGTGCATGGATGCTTGCAGACGGAAGAATTTGGTGGAGTTGACATCAAGAGACTCACATCCATCGCGATGAAAAGTGAGCGAGCTCATCATGCGCGAGTGTGTGCGTGTGTATGTGTGTGTTTGTGTGCTTGTTTGTCCTGCTTTCGCGTGCTGTGTTTGTTGAATGCATATTCCATCACAACATGCAATGCAACGCAACGCAACGCATGGATGCGTTCACCTCCCTCGTCTCATTCGTCACATACGTGCGTGCGTGTGCATGTGGGTTGCAACATCAGAGTTTGGCGATCTGTGGCTCTCTGCGGATCCATCCCACCCACACGCCTCCTTCTATCCTCCCAATAGCCCCATCCACTTCAAGCTCGTCATCGAGACTGAGTTTGCAGTCCTCCACATCCTGGTGTGTGTGTGTGTGGGGGGGGGGGGTGCGGGTGTATGCCCGTGTGTATGCACGGTGGGTGTATGCGTGTATGCGTGCGTGCGTGCGTGTATGCCTGCGTGCGTGCATGCGTGCGTGCGTGCGAGCGTGTATATGTGTGTGTATGTGCGCGTGTGTGTGTATTCGGGTCTCTGTGTCTGAGTCGGTGGGGGCTGGTGTCTTGCGCTGTGTATACACAATGGATCCAGTATATGAGAATACGTGCGGTCGTGCGCATATTC